GTTATTACAGCTATTGTAAACCTGAGTTTGACTTCAGGACAAGTCCCCAAATGCATAAAAACTGCTGTTCCTAAACCGCTAACAAAAAAGCCTAATCTTGATCGCAAGGAACTGACAAAGTTACCAGTTGGTATCAAATCTGACATTTTTATCCAAGATCTTACAGAAAGAGGTTAAAACTAGACTCCCAGATCACCTTCAGTCTCAGGCCTGCTTGATATGTCGGCTTACAGAAGTGGATTCAGTACAGAGACAGCTCTCAATAAAGTATTAAACGATTTGAAGACGGAAATGTTGCGCTTTTGCTCCTGTTAGATTTATCAGTGGCATTTGATATTGTTGACGACACCTTGCTAATAGACCGACTTTATACTGAATATGGTTTAGAGGGCGTTGTTTTGGACTGGTTCCGCTCGTACCTGAGTGACAGATACCAGAGAGTTAGCATTAATGCTACATCATCTGACAACACTCTTTTGACTTGTGGTGTACCCCAAGGTGCGGTACTGGGTCCAGTACTATTTACGCTATACAGCAAGCATGTCTCTCAGGTCATTAGTAACTGTGCCATCAATGATCATTCTTATGCTGATGATACGCAATTGCACAATAGTCTTGCTCTTGATGACATGTCACAGAGGGCAGGACTAAGTGCGATAGAAGACTGTACATCCAAGGTTAGCGACTGGATGAACGCCAATATGCTGAAGTTAAACAGCGATAAGACAGAGGCTTTGCTCATAGGACCTGACAAAAGGCTGCAAAAGATCTAAGGAACTCATATCAAAGTCGAAAGTGATGAAATCAACCTTTAGACAGATGCTAGAGACTTGGGTGTGAGGCTAGATTCGTCACTCAACATGGACAAGCACATCAAAGACCTCGTCAAAAATGCTATTTCAACTCCGAAACATAGGTAGCATATACCACCTTCTCTACAGCAGCTCAATAATCCTCGCCAGGATTGACTATCGTAATAGTCTGCTTGTAGGGGCTCCAGCACAACAAATCAGAAGGCTGTAAAACATCCAGAACTCAGCAGCTAGAATTGTCACACTGTCAAAAAGGTCTTGTCATATCACTCAAATACTCAGGTATCTCCACTTAACTGCCGGTCCAAGAACGGACATATCATAAGACCCTCACCCTCACCTATCAGTGTATCAATGATACAGCTCCTGGTTATCTGTGTGATCTAGTAGGAGACTATGAAGTTCCTACAAGAACTCTCCGCTCCAGTGATCAAATGCTACTTAAGGTCCCCAACATCAAGCTCAAGACATTTGGCGGCATATCCTCCGCATATAAGCCTGCCGTTGAATGGAATGCTCTCGCAATTGATCTGAAATCAATTCCAACTCTAACTCGGTTCAAGAAGCATCTTAAGACCTACTTATTCAGTAGCAATGGATTGTAAAATGTTATATCTATGAAATCTGTTAGCGCTTTGAGCACACTTTGGTGTGGAGGCTAACGCAATATATAATTGAGTCTAAATTAAACAATCCAGTGATAGATATTGTTAACAACCACACACGCTAAGAATTCTACCTTTTGATATTCTAATTACTCAAACTCAGCCCCTTATCGGTGTCTGTTTTTTTTATATGTTATATACCAGCACCATTACCCTCTTGCAGCGGACTACGGATCCTGGCTTGACTATGTCCTCGAGCGGGAGAAGGACATCGAGATCCAGCAAGAATGAGTGAGTGAGTGAGTTTAGTTTTAAGCCGCATTCAGCAATATTCCAGCCATATGGCGGCGGTCTGTAAATAATAAAGTCTGGACCAGACAATCCAGTGATCAACAGCATGAGCATCGATCTGCGCAACTGGAGACCGATGACATGTGTCAACCAAGTCAGCGAGCTTGACCACCCGACCCCATTAGTCGCCTCTTACAACAAGCAAGGGGTACTGAAGGCTCATTCTAGCCCGGACCTTCACGGGTAGACCCAGCAAGACCGACCCCCAATACACATTATGTACTATGAAGACACGAAAGAAGTCAGTGATTTTACTGGTTATGTGCATAGACTGTATAAATATTATGGCCCATGTCTAACGTTTGCTTTGTTGTTCAACAACGCACTCAGAAATATCGTGTCTAACAACATCGTATATAATAATGAGTGAATATGGTTTTACGTCGCGTTTAGCAATATTCCAGTAATATCACCTGAAATGGGCTTCACACATTGTACCCGTGTGGGGAATCGAATCCGGGTCTTCGGCGTGACGATCGAATGCTTTAATCACTATAGGTAGGCTACCCCACCGCCCCTTGTCCTCAGACCCCCTCGGAGGAAATCTGGAAGTTGGCAGTGTTTCTGGGACTACCCTACCAGTAGCACCCCCCATTCACAAAATATGCCCAAATATGTAAATAATTTTTTTAACTGACGTTGCGCAGCAGTACACCTGCTCTAAGTCAGCGATGGACTGCAAACATTGTTAGATAGTTTTGAATTGCAACTATACTACTGTATAGACGTAAATAGATTTCGACGCTAAAAGTAAAGACAAACGTTTGGTAACTAGGGTTTGTTTACAACAAACTGGTAAAGGTGTGCCAGTAAAAATACAGGTGAAACGTGAACGTGCTAAGAATGTTTGACACAATCCCAATGTCAATGTTGATTTTGTAGGGATCAGTACCACTACCTATCAAGTGATGTGATCAAATCGTCACAAGCTCGGGTTTTCAAGGAATCAGAAGGCTCTCGGAGCGACCATTGCGCTGAATTTATGTGCTGTGCTGTGCTGTGCTGTGCTGTGCTGTGCTGTACTGTGCTGTGCTACAGCTGTGCTGTGCGATGCGGTACTTGGGTTAAATTGGCTGGACTGAAGAGCGAAACCGAAGGGAAAATAGACCTATATACTGCCTGCCACAGTCCTGTCAATGTCACCAAACTGACCGTGTCCTTGTTGTAATAAAATACTGCACATCATTGGATATGCTGATCCTTCTTTATAAACCTATGGCCAATGTTGTCAATTGTTCTTGCAGTTCCTTCGCATTATGGAATAACCTCGGTAGAGGTTTTACCATGATCATTGTAATACCTCGCAGGAGGTTTTACAATGACCATTGTAAAACCTCATACGAGGTACGAAGTTTGACAATGGTCGTTGTGAAACCTCATACTATTATTTATGACTGATACAACTTTGTCTTGCTATAACTGATCGTAAAATATCTAATTATTGAAAACTTCCAAGATTCAGTGGCGTTAACTGGTTTCGAACCCGCAACCCATCGCTCTCTAGCTTGGCGGTTTTATCCACTACGCTACGAAGGATCGCTGACAGGTACTGCAGGCAGCGCACGTGCAGGGCACGGGTAGAGCTTGCGGGGTAAGGTGTTGGCTGCCAGTCGCATCCCAGTTGACACCGGTTGTTCCATCATTTGCAGGCTGTTCCATCAATGTTGTTCTACTCAGTACATGCACAAATTGAAATTAAGTGTTGTCTTAGACGGTTTATAAGTTAGATAAAACACTCCTCCTCGGTTTTGGTTGAGATTGTAAAACCTCAGGGGAAGGAAAGCCCGAGGGCGTGTTTTAGCCTACACGTCACATATGTGAAAATATTTAGGAAAATCATGGCAAGCATCCAGACCTCACTTACCAAATGTTACACATGCATTCCAAGCATCAAGTTGTCAGAATCCGCATTGTGCTTGGTGCCATAGGTTTAATTCCTCCGAGAGGTTTGGTACCTATATTGACTGACGTTGAGTACGTGAGTTAACTGTCAGGTACACAGCCCTTCTGACACTCAGAATGCAGAAGGCTATCGCTCTATTAGAGAGTCCACACATTCTCTAAACGTTCGACCAGGCAGTTATTCCTATGAGAAGCCTCATCCACTGCCTGGGATGCATGAAAAGGGGTCAGGGGCCCTAAGCTGATTATGACAATTCCAGGATCACACTCATTGAATCATTTATTTATTTTAACTGTACATAATAAACCAAACATAATAGGCGTTTATAGCAGTTGCCTCCATAAACTAGAAACACTAACATTACACGCTAAGAAGTACGACAAGTATAATACCTTCACCTTTGTAAGCATAAAATATTCAGGTTTTTGGAAGCAACACGAAAATACTCGAAGCAACACGAAAATACTCGAAATTTCAAATTTGGACAGAAATTTGAAGCAAAGGGAAAATACTCCAAACAATGTGAAAATAATCGAAGTAACGAGAAAATAATAATAATCTTTAAAAAACGAGAACATACTATCATGCACAGATAAAATGGTCGAAGCAACGAGAAATGGAACTGTAACAGATCTGTTACGCTACAAAAGTGGTAGCATTTTGCTTTCATAATGGAGTATACAGCTGTAGTTGACTTTTCAGGTACTCAGGGGTTTACAGTCGCATGGCCATCTCATGATTCCGGGCGTCCATAAGACACACAAGGTCATTACATAGCAAGACTTACACTTGATTCTGCTGGCGTACAGGAAAACATCAACTTTCTGAACAACCAGTGAAATTATTTAATTCAGAAGCACATAGCCTTGATTCTGCTGAATCAGGTGAAGTAGCAAATCATCAACTATCTGAACAACCAGTGAAAAAGAGCATTTCAGAAGCTTTATTTACAAAATTAGTTAAACTTCAGATTCTTAAAGATATGCGCGCTACATCTAAACGATACAGAAACTATTATGTCTACAAATACATCACTTTGTCCCCGTGGGGAGTTCTGGGTAGAATATGTCTTTATTAATGCGTGCTGGGGGTAGGCGTCGTAATAGGTCGGGTTGTCGGGCTCAGAGACATGGCTGATCATGTCGACGGCATAGAACGTAACGCCGGTGTGTCAGAAATCGCTGGTATATTAAACAACAGAAGTGGATATTTTTAACTGGATACAAACCTATTAAAAGACTCATATATCTAACGTTGCTTACAAAACTACTAAAAGACTTAGTATTTTGAATTTTGTTACGCTGCAGTTGACCAATTTCAACTAAACTGCATGTAAATGACGTCATACAAGTTATACAAGTTGCTAAATCATTGGCGACGATCCTCGCCATCAGTGCACTCTGACATGCAGTCATCTTGCCACCGGGTTCTCCTGAACTTGCTCTCATTGCAAGCAAGTTGCGCTTGTCTTCGACACTTTACATAAATGGGTCATATTTGTTCTTCACTCATTTGCCTCACGTGTTTTTCCAACATTTCGCAAATGCATTTATGTTTATGTGCTGTAGGATGCCTGTCCACCACAGTTGTTTCAACACTGTCGCCAAACAGAAAGTCATATTTTCCTTCAATGAGAGAAAGTATGTAACGTTTTCCAGTGTTTCGTGTCCCTCCCTGTAATTAAAAAGATGATTATTACCAACAAGCAGCACAAATCACAGTTAGTGAGTGAGGTAGATACTGATAAATTCTGCCATTAACAGGACATTCATAGAATATCAAACAGTTAAATGCTTGGGACAGGCAAAAAGATATACCACCCACGCAATAACTTGATAGGTTGTGTTTGTTTGTTTGTTTGTTATTGTTTAACACCACACTCCAGCTATATGACGACAGTCTGAAAATAATCGAGTCGTGACCAAAAAAAACAGTGATTGACATAATGAGCGTTAATATGCGCACTTGGGAAACAAAGACATGCATCAACCAAATCTACGAGTCTGACCACCCTTTAGTCTTCTCATACGACAAACATTACATGAAATCATATGGGAACGAATTATATAATACAAGTGATGGTATTTCACGAGTAATTAATATTACTACATAGTCTATGTGTCCTTATAATGTATAATGTATGAATACAAATATGCAAAATAAAATATAAAAAGTGCCGAACGACTTTTCACACACATCCCAAATATGGTCACCGTTGAATTGTTTTGAAAATCACGTTAGAAGGCAAACGTTTGTCTGCCCTGTCATTCACCTTTTGCTCATATATCGATGGAACAGTACGTTTTAGTTGACATTATGCCATTATATATTGCTACAAAACAATAAATCTTTATTAACTATTCAACTTTACGCTTAAACACCGTACACACATTTTACTTTATTTTAAATTTCACTAGGGGCATGGCAGCAATTTACATGTGCAAGTTCAGGCAACTGGTAGACACTTATGGATTACATTATACATGTACATACATACAGGTACCTAAAGAAATGCATCATGTATGTTTTGTCTCAACCAACAGCATTATCGGATATCAACTCTTGTTAGCATAGGTAAATACTTATTTGTGAATCAAAGCGGTATCTGAAAAGTGAAACTTCTGGATCAGTCAGTTTCCTTTCAGAATGTATCAACATCTCGAAGCATTCAAACGTTTCTGTAGACATGTGTTACACAAATTTGGAGCATCGGTGACAAAATGAAGTCCAGTGCCATTCCATATTTTTTCTTAAACCATTATATGTTTGTCATGTGAATAATTGACATGCCGTTGCAAGTGTTTGTGACTGATACGACGTTAGGGGCAGACTCAGATTTTCGTGTACACCCTCTACCTTTGCTGTTTCACTGTGATTCATAAACACATAAACACATATACAGTTTTGTTTTTTTTACAATTCCTTACCTCTTCGTCTCTGTCTGGGACTGTTTCACCAGCCTCACGTTGTTCGTAGATGATGTCACATAAGTATTTCTGAAACGGACAAGGCAGGGTACCAGATTACAACTGATAGTACATACTAAATAGTAGTGTGTCACATATCTGACAGCGCATAACATACTAGCATAAAACATTACAATCGACGAAACACATACAAAACGACGACAAACATACAAAATGACAACACATATACAAAAGACGACATACATACAAAACGACACATATACAAAACGACGACATACATAAAAAACGACACATACAAAACGACGACTAACATACAAAACGACACATATACAATACGACTAACATACAAAACGACGACTTACATACAAAACGACGACTAACATACTAAATGACACATACAAAACGACGACTAACATACAAAACGACGACAAACATACAAAATGACAACACATACAAAACGATGGCACACTTACAAAACGACGACATACAATGCAACACACATACAAAACGACGACATACAATGCAACACACATACAAAACGACGACATACAATGCAACACACATACAAAACGACGACTAACATACAAAACGACGACAAACATACAAAACGACGACATACAATGCAACACACATACAAAGCGACGACATACAATGCAACACACATACAAAAACGACGACACACAATGCAACATACATACAAAACGACGACATACAATGCAACACACATACAAAACGACGACATACAATGCAACACACATACAAAACGACGACATACACAATGCAACACACATACAAAACGTAGACATACAATGCCCACACATACAAAACGACGACTAACATACAAAACGACGACAAACATACAAAATGACAACACATACAAAACGATGGCACACTTACAAAACGACGACATACAATGCAACACACATACAAAACGACACACAAAACAACATAGGACAAACTTTATGGATAACAACTTCTTTTTATTGGTGAGTGCGATGTTTCGATACAGATTCTTGTACCGTTGTCAAGCATAATGGAACATGAAGAAGGAGAAGTGTCCTATATTGTACTTCCCAACTTCTAAAATGCCACTCAAAGAAAAGACACACAAAACGGCGACTAACATACAAAACGGCGACTAACATACAAAACGGCGACTAACATACAAAACGGCGACTAACATACAAAACGACGACTAACATACAAAACGGCGACTAACGTACAAAACGGCGACTAACGTACAAAACAAAACGGCGACTAACGTACAAAACGGCGACTAACGTACAAAACGGCGACTAACATACAAAACGGCGACTAACATACAAAACGACGACTAACGTATACAACAGCGACTAACATACAAAACGGCGACTAACATACAAAACGACGACTAACGTATACAACGGCGACTAACATACAAAACGACGACTAACATACAAAACGGCGACTAACATACCAAACGACGACTAACATACAAAACGGCGACTAACATACAAAACGACGACTAACATACAAAACGGCGACTAACATACAAAACGGCGACTAACGTACAAAACGACGACTAACGTATACAACGGGACTAACATACAAAACGGCGACTAACATACAAAACGACGACTAACATACAAAACGGCGACTAACATACAAAACGGCGACTAACATACAAAACGGCGACTAACGTACAAAACGACGACTAACGTATACAACGGGGACTAACATACAAAACGGCGACTAACATACAAAACGACGACTAACATACAAAACGGCGACTAACATACAAAACGGCGACTAACATACAAAACGGCGACTAACATACAAAACGACGACTAACATACAAAACGGCGACTAACATACAAAACGGCGACTAACATACAAAACGGCGACTAACATACAAAACGACGACTAACGTATAAAACGGCGACTAACATACAAAACGGCGACTAACATACAAAACGACGACTAACGTACAAAACGGCGACTAACATACAAAACGGCGACTAACATACAAAACGGCGACTAACATACAAAACGACGACTAACGTACAAAACGGCGACTAACGTACAAAACGGCCACTAACATACAAAACGGCGACTAACATACAAAACGACGACTAACGTAAAAACGACGACTAACGTATACAACGGGGACTAACATACAGAACGGCGACTAACATACAAAACGGCGACTAACGTACAAAACGGCGACTAACATACAAAACGGCGACTAACATACAAAGCGACGACTAACGTACAAAACGGCGACTAACATACAAAACGGCGACTAACGTACAAAACGACGACTAACATACAAAACGGCGACTAACGTACAAAACGGCGACTAACGTACAAAACGACGACTAACATACAAAACGGCGACTAACATACAAAAACGACGACTAACGTACAAAACGGCGACTAACGTACAAAACGGCGACTAACGTACAAAACGGCCACTAACATACAAAACGGCGACTAACATACAAAACGGCGACTAACATACAAAACGACGACTAACATACAAAACGGCGACTAACATACAAAACGACGACTAACGTACAAAACGGCGACTAACATACAAAACGGCGACTAACATACAAAACGACGACTAACGTACAAAACGGCGACTAACATACAAAACGACGACTAACATACAAAACGGCGACTAACATACAAAACGGCGACTAACGTACAAAACGGCGACTAACATACAAAACGGCGACTAACGCACAAAACGGCGATTAACATACAATACGACGACTAACGTACAAAACGGCGACTAACGTACAAAACGGCGATTAACATAACAATACAACGACTAACGTACAAAACGGCGACTAACGTACAAAACGGTGACTAACGTACAACACGGCCACTAACATACAAAACGGCGACTAACATACAAAACGGCGACTAACATACAAACGACGACTAACATACAAAACGGCGACTAACAAACAAAACGACGACTAACGTACAAAACGGCGACTAACGTACAAAACGGCGACTAACATACAAAACGGCGACTAACATACGAAACGGCGACTACCGTACAAAACGGCGACTAACATACAAAACGGCGACTAACATAAAAACAGCGACTAACAGCCATTAAAACGGCGACTACCGTACTAAACGGCGACTAACATACAAAATGACGACTAACATACAAAACGGCGACTAACATACAAAACGGCGACTAACGTACAAAACGGCGACTAACATACAAAACGGCGACTAACGTATAAAACGGCGACTAACATACAAAACGACGACTAACATACAAAACGACGACTACCATATACTAACGGCGACTAACATACAAAACGGCGACTAACATACAAAACGGCGACTAACATACAAAACGGCGACTAACATACAAAACGGCGACTAACATACAAAACGGCGACTAACGTATAAAACGGCGACTAACATACACAAAACGGCGACTAACATACAAAACGACGACTACCGTATACAACGGCGACTAACATACAAAACGGCGACTAACATACAAAACGGCGACTAACATACAAAACGGCGACTAACATACAAAACGACGACTAACGTACAAAACGGCGACTAACATACAAAACGGCGACTAACATACAAAACGACGACTAACGTACAAAACGGCGACTAACATACAAAACGGCGACTAACATACAAAACGACGACTAACATACAAAACGGCGACTAACATACAAAACGACGACTAACGTACAAAACGGCGACTAACGTACAAAACGGCGACTTACGTACAAAACGGCCACTAACATACAAAACGGCCACTAACATACAAAACGTCGACTAACATACAAAACGACGACTAAGATACAAAACGGCGACTAACATACAAAACGACGACTAACGCACAAAACGGCGACTAACATACAAAACGGCGACTAACATACAAAACGACGACTAACGTACAAAACGGCGACTAACATACAAAACGACGACTAACATACAAAACGGCGACTAACATACAAAACGGCGACTAACATACAAAACGGCGACTAACGTACAAAACGGCGACTAACATACAATACGACGACTAACGTACAAAACGGCGACTAACGTACAAAACGGTGACTAACGTACAAAACGGCGACTAACATACAAAACGGCGACTAACGTACAAAACGGCGACTAACATACAAAACGGCGACTAACGTATAAAACGGCGACTAACATACAAAACGGCGACTAACATACAAAACGACGACTAACGTACAAAACGGCGACTAACGTACAAAACGGCGACTAACATACAAAACGGCGACTAACGTACAAAACGGCGACTAACATACAAAACGGCGACTAACATACAAAACGGCGACTAACGTACAAAACGGCGACTAACATACAAAACGGCGACTAACGTACAAAACGGCGACTAACGTACAAAACGGCGACTAACGTACAAAACGGCGACTAACGTACAAAACGGCGACTAACGTACAAAACGGCGACTAACATACAAAACGACAACTAACATACAAAACGACAACTAACATACAAAACGATGGCACACATACAAAACGACGACATACAATGCAACACACATACAAAACGACGACATACAATGGAACACACATACAAAACGACGACATACAATGCAACACTAATACAAAACGACACACAAAACGACGACTAACGTACAAAACGACGGCACACATACAAAACAACGACACATCACACCTTTGTCACACATATTGAATGCCTCCATGACTTCAGCGGTATTTACAGAAATGAAAGATTTCTGAATCACTCATTATATCAATCCAATTTAATACTCACCATGCATGGTTGTAAGTCGTAATACATGACCTCCAACTGAAGACAAGGTTAAGGTAAGTCATATGATCAATCGCATGAAGCTGACTGAGGATTGAGTTGTTTTCATCTGTTCAGTATTGTTTTGAATAAATAATTCGAGCTCACAATACTGACCTTAAGAGTGCTGCCAAAGCATGACATGTTAAGACAACACAAGTCAAAACATTGATTATTAATAACAGCCTCGTTTCCTGTTGACTGGGTTTTCTCTGTCCTATTGCGCAACTTAGTACAATAACCAGTCCAGAATTTTGTGACCAATTCATTAAACTGGATGCATAAATATGTATCAGTATTATTTCATACATCTAAGCACTTGTATATTGCAACACTACGCCCTTATAACTCTAGCAAACTTGTCGTGCAGCGTGCTCTGTCGTACAGCGAGCTCTGACAAACAGAAACATGGAAATCGTGGAAATCTAAAAACGTGGCTGTGCCGCTAGAAAAGTTGGGCGGGCTGGTACGAACTTGATATTATATCAATCACATTGGGCGTTACAGAACTACTCTGAATACGTGCAAAACAACAATAACAGGTGTAACCAGTGAGCCAGATGCATTGTGAATCATTTTACGACCTCATCAAACTGGAGCAGTCAGTGACGTCTTAGTTAAGGCCATGCTGCCTACACCTCGCCATAAAAATAGAAATACGATGTTATTAAGTTTAAAATTAAAAATTCATTTCTAAATACCATTTTCTTATGAAACAAGGACTAGTAATTCAGTGTAACCATAGTTGTTTGTGATGTCTATTTTCACTTTCACACGAGAAAATTCGGATCGGCTGAAAGGTAGGTCATTGTCTGAATAGGTTAATGAGACTCATGTTTCGGTTTGTATTCACATGATTCACCTGGTGTCCTCACTGATTATCAGTGACCTATTCATATACAGTTTACAGCTATATTCCCTGCGCACCAAAACAAATCTTTCTGGGGAGAGTCAAGAGTAGGTATTCTGATTAGTAGGTAGGGCAGAATTTTATATTAAAACTATTAAGGGATTCTAGGAACAATGCTTCAGAGGAAGAACAAAGGAAGAAAGTAAAAAGGAAGAAACGGCGCAGCTGCTGATTTTCCAAAGGATACGTTTGGTTGACATTTTCTGGATTTAAAGTTGATGAGGATATTTGTTTCAAAAACTCGCTCCATGGAATATGCTCGTAGTCGAGCTCTCAATCTCATTACCATCTGTAAAAAACAACATGACGTTATGAATGACATGTAAAATACGGAAGGAAATATTAACAACTAACAACTTCAAACGTGGAGCATTGAATGAAATGTTCACGACTGGATATACCTAACCAGGGGCAAAACTAGTATCAACAGCACACACACCCACACCTCACACGCGTACACGTATATGCACACGACAAGGTGGGAGGAATGGCAGAACATTTTGAGTGAGTGAGTGTGAGTTTACGCCGCGTTTAGCAATAGTCCAGCAATATCCCGTCGGGGGACACCACAAGTGTGCTTCACACATTGTACCCATGTGGAGAACCGAACCGGGTCTGAGCGAACGCTTTAACCACTACGCCACCGAGCGTCTCGTTGAAGTTTTTTTCAACAAAACAAAATTGTTGCCATTAGCGTCGACCATGTAGTCACTGTTGGTGACCCGAAGCATCATCCATGGCTGATCACAATATGATTGGTTGCTTCAAAACGAAGGTAAATTCCATGAGAGATTATCGAATAGTTTTGTTGTGAAGTCTTGAAACAAAGCGTGCCGAAACCTTTGTCGTGCTGGGGCAGTGGATAGCCTAGTGATTACAACCGTTGGCTCGTCAGACCACACACCCGGGTTCTATTCCACACATGGGTAAAATGCGTGAAGCCCATTTCTGATGTCTCCCGCCTTGATATTGCTGTAATATTGCTAAATGCGGCGTAAAGGTAAACTCACTCACTCACTTTGTCGTGCTTGGGCGATTCTTTAGGACCTTAAACTGACTTTGAAATAAGCAACTGACTGTAAATTAGTTATTGATACAGTTTGCATGTACCAAATACATGCAAACTGCCAAACGTGTACTACTAAGTATGCTTGCTCCAAAATGGCTGGCACCATTGCCGTAAAAGACATTGATCCTTCAGACATGTCCATGATTTGACAGCATCATTGTCGTGTTTGAAAGTTCTCCAAAGTTCCCAGTCTAAGTCAACTTAGGCTCAGTATTATTCGTTACACTGCTATACTGAGTCTAACAAAACCTAGTAGAAGGTCGCGTCAGCTAACCTTTTTGACTGACCAATCAGAACACAGCTTACTGAAGGAAATAAAGACGTATATATATACACGCATTCTCTGCGCCGGTCCAACTTATCCTTGTTTCCCAGATGGGGAATCAAATCCAGGTTCTAAGCGTGACGAGGTAACACTTTAACCACTTGGCTACCCCCACAGTCTCCTACACAGTTCAATAAAGTCGCATGTACTTACCCGCAAATGTACAGCACAGGCCAAACCAATACCGACAGGCACGAGTAAAAACGCTAACAGAAGATAGGAACCATCTACGTTTCTCATCACTGATGCTACGATGATGAAACCAATCAGCTCCATCAACAAAAGCAAGGATAATGTGCTGCAACAGCAAACGCCGCAAAAAAGACAACCAGAGTGGCTGATGGAATAGTACTTCATGCAGACAGAGTTGTTGGCAATATCCTTTGCATCGTAATAAACTCTCTCAGCAAACTGAAACAGACGTAAATGTGTTAAAGTTCCAGACACATTAGGGTCCTGCTTCAAAACAATATATCCGATTTTCATCTCTGATTCAAAATCCCGAACAATTTCATTGTGTTTTCAGTAAACAGTTTAAACAATGGGATATGTTCACATGAGTCAACCAAGTCAGCGAGCCTGACTACCCGATCCCGTTAGTTGCCTCTTACGATCATAAGGATAGAATGATCCCTTAAAATATTTGTACGTGTGCATTTTGGTGATTCTCAGTGCTGACTGATCAGTTGCAGTCACATGATGTCACAGTGTTTCGTTGTTTGATCTATTTAACTGTAGATGATGTTAAGAATTGATTACATGCCTTAGGAGACGTTCGTTTGTAGGTGACGTTCGTATGTAGGCGTTCGGTTTTAAATGAAATTTAGAGCTATTATAATTCCGTTATATACCTCCGATTTTCAAATACAGTATGTTTATCTCCTAAATAGTCTCCTAAGTAGGTCATTCAATGTATCTTTTATCTGTTGGTGTTGCAGTTTTACCTTTGCCCTATGCACATTTTTTATCCCATATAGCCAAACCCATGAAAAGGGCAAGACCGTCACATGGTCACAACGAAGTGATAAAATGAACCTCATACCCACTGGCGATTATAGTTTCTTTGTACGAAAGACTAATAGTGCTTCTTGTGTATCAGAAATGAGTTTTTACCGAAAATTCTCGTTGATATTGAAATTGGAATTTCGAGACAAAATGACATAAGGAGAACATTTCGAGTTTAGTTTAAAGACAATATAAAAGAAATTTTGAAAACATATTTGGAGCAATAACAAAACCAAAATACCCTCGAAATTGTGACAATTATAAACATGTCAATCAAATAACGATAAATTTCCGTTAAAAACAATTCATGCTCAAAAACCGTTGTTTATATTTTGACACCAGTCAACAATATTCCAGTTATATAATGGCGACCTGTAACTATGCGCGAGTCAGGACAAACAGCTGGAACTACGTGTTGAGCCGTTGGGGAACGATGACATTCCATAAACCAAGTAGCAGAATGATGCATGACAGATTCCAACCTTTAAGGATTTTGGGATGCCACACTTATCCAGCGCCCCACCGCTTGTTAAATAATGTAACGATTTACAAGGTCAGTCACTGAATTGTCTGATCCAGATGAGGTAATTAACTAGCAGCCACCATTCAGCTGGAATGCTGCTGTGTGTCCAGCCACACAATAATTCATTGCACCTGAACAACAAACACTATTCCCGAGATGCTCAAACATTAAGTCATACACGTATTAGTATACATAATAGCGGTACGGGACCCTATCAAGATCTTTTGGCCCAATTCCGCTCCCACACTGCCCATAAAAACCAGGCCGAATAAGGGACATCGATCAAAGTTCCCGCTTGTATTACAGGTAAAAGCCTTTGATATTGTAAATAAATAAATAATGGATAAACTTTACTACAGCCCGCGTGGATATTGGAAAGGAAAGGAGCCATACAAAAACTAGCTGCTGCGGCTAAGGTATCCAAAGATGATGCTGAGGAATGGTTAAAGAAGCAAGCAATATTGCAAATATATTTACAAGCGCAATGATGTATACACAGGAGGAAGTTTGATATTTCAACGACTAATGAAGTACGTCAGGCCGACCTCTTGTTTCTGGGTGAGACCCATACATATGGATATGCCTTGACCATAGTGGATGTAGCTAGTCATTATAAAGAGGCCAAGTCATTAACCACCAATGATTGAACCGAAGTCACTAATGTGTTGTCATGCATATACAAACAAGGCCCTTTGAAGTGCCCTTTAAAGTGCCCTAATGAATTTCAAGAAGACCTGCGCGGAACAGCAGGGCTCATGGTAACCAAGCTATCATTTTGGCATTTAATCGCACATTAGCCGTACGCTTGTTTGCATATCAGTACACGAAGGAAATGGTAATAATAATAATAAGGGCCTGATGATGTACGCCTCTTCGTGGTGGGCCTAGAAAGGGAATTATATTCCCTGAACGGAACGTACATCACCCAGTTAGGGGCTGACCCCCCGAAGCTGGGAAATTACTGGGTTACTACAAGCCAAGAAGAATTCAATTTTTCACTTCCGCAGCCCAGTCAGCCTTCCTCCGGTAAAGAAACAAACCATACTGGAGATGGGACTTGCCCCAGGGGAAGGCACAGAACCCGGCCAAGAATATCTTGGTCCACACTAAATCCACACTACTTGAGTGTGCGAAAGCGACAGGATGGCCTGATAATCCACGCATCAATGACAAGTCGCTTAAGCTGCATTGGGACAATGCCATGCCCATGTATGCTTACCTGACGGAACAAAATCTCCGCGACCAATTCCGGCGTCTTACAAATCTGATACGCCGTGAGCCAGTTCAACCAATAACTGGTGCCCATCAGGAACCTTTGCATGAGCAGAATGCTCAAGTGGCAGCAGACCCAAACTTTTAATGGATGTCCGTGTCAACCTCTTTCCTCTTTCTGATGGAAACTCTTCTGGCATAGAGCCAATTGGCCCCGAAATGTCTGACCCTCACTCTTCCTCTTCTTCAGTTGCAGATCTTTCAGAAAATCCTGTGTATATTTTGTTTCATTCTATTTATGATGAAATATCTGATATACTTTTAGAAAAACGGAGGCCAATTAAACAAACAAATGTATCTTTTCCCAAACATGAAATTAATTTATTAAATGACATTATTTCTATGAAACTTTCTGCGGACTGTTCATTACATGAAGTTATTTGTTGTGTCTACGCTGCTGCTCGAACCTTGGAGGAACTTCACAGAGTTTCCAAAGAAAAACATTTAATACTAAGAAGACTTCACCAAAGAAAAACCGGTTTCAAGTAAAACTAACAGAAACTAGAAAATACATTTCCTGGATAGAGTTGTGCCTGAAAATAAGATCATCAGGAAGTCCAATGTCAAAACGGCAAAAGTCAATTTGGAGAAAATTAAAATTACAGTACAAGACAACAAAAGAAAAGGTATTTCTCCAAATTGTCGATTCTCTTAAGGCAAAAATAAAAGTTTGGACTGAAAGAAAGAAAAAATGGGAAAAGAAAAACAAATTCATCAAACAAAATAAACTTTTTAGAAATAATGAAAAGCACTTCTACAGGCAACTTAAAACAAGCGGTGATGGTGAGCATGATAAACGGCCTCCCATGGATGCCAATGAAAGGTTCTGGAAACAGTTGTGGTCTGTACCCGGCGACTGTATCCTTGAGGCACCGTGAGTCCGTGATTATGACCATGCAATGCATGAGAAACTAACTAGGTCGTTTGTCTGTTACATCTCACCAGATTGCCTGAAAAGTGTTATCAAAAAGTCCAAATCTAATACAGCTCCAGGGCCTGATGGCATTCGAAACCGGTATTGGAAACTGTTCCCCTGTGTCCAAACACCATTACTACACTGTTTCAATACTCTCGTGGACACAGGTGATGTTCCTCCATGGTTCTGCAAAGGTCGCACAATACTTCTCCCCAAGAAAGGAGATTTGACTGATCCCCAAAACTTCCGCCCTATCACATGTTTGAATACACAATACAAAATATTCACAGGCTGCTTGACAAACCTCGTGTCATCTTACTGCTCTTCCAATGATATCATTTACAGAGAGCAGAAGGGAGCAGGAAAGGGATGTTGGGGGTGCAAGGATCAACTTTTTGTACAGAAAATGATTTTGGAAGAGGCTAAAACATATCATAGCAACCTCTCCATGTGCTGGATTGACTACAAAAAGCATACGACTCTGTCCCTCACGAATGGATTCTGAAGTCTCTGCGTTGTATTGACCTCCCGGAGCGACTCTTGATTTACTCAAGTCTTTAATGAGTTGCTGGTCGACTCAACTTGAGATGTACTCGCAAGAGTAGGTGCAGACTTCGGAATCTATTCCAATCAGAAGGGGAATATTTCAAGGGGACTCCTTTAGTCCTTTGCTTTTTTGTCTGTCTTTAAATCCTTTGAGCTTTCTGCTCAATAAAGAGGAGGGTTACCATCCCGGACCTCCTCAGCACAGATCCCCAACACCTCTTACTCATCTCCTTTACATGGATGAGATGCCAATTTGAAAGAGCAGGTTCTCCTTGTCGAGTCCTTTTCTATTGATATTGGCATGACATTTGGACTCGACAAATGTAATACTCTTCATTTGAAACGTGGCAAGGTAACTAATGATGGATCGGTCAAGTTACAAGGGGGAGGAGTTATTGAGCATCTTGTGGAAGATCAGGCCTACACCTATCTTGGAATGCAAGTTCGAGACAAGCTCCAGAATGCCCAGATTCAAGACAAACTTCGGGCCGAGTACAAATCTCGTTTAAAGAAAATCTGGAGCTCAGAGCTAAATGCTCGAAACAAGGTCAAAGCCACCAATACTTTTGCTGTGCCAGTCCTTTCCTATTCCTTTGGAGTAGTTGACTGGACAAAACAAGACATCCAGAGTCTTGACCATCTGACCAGAAGGATCATGTCTGATAACAGAGCCCACCACCCTCGTTCCTCTCTTAACCGTTTATACATGCCAATCAATTCTGGAGGTCGGGGTTTGATTAATGTGGAGGCTGTTCATGACAGAATTTTATTGTGTACTTTTGCACATATTTATTTATCGGATGATCCTCTGGTGATGCATGTGAAGACTCATGATGATAGCAAGGAATTCCACAGCTATTTTAAGCGTGCCAAGGTTGTTGGACAGAATCTGAAATTTGAGGTTGATTTTGTTGATGGCGATGTACTGCTGGACGGTACAGTGATGGGAGAAAACAGGTGAAGTCCTTTACCAAGTCTGCCCAGAGTCTGTCTTTTGTGGAGAAGCTTTCTGAGAAGCCATTGCATCGTGTGTACATGCAGTGTGTTGAACAGAATAGCAATCCCACCGACTCCTTCGCCTGGATGAAGTCAGCTGGTCTTAAATGTGAAACTGAGGGCTTCCTTTCGCTGCTCAGGACCAGTCACTTC